TGCACCGGTGCAACACGTACCTGTACATAGATGCTGCTGCACCGGTGCAACACGTCCCCGTACATAGATGCTGCTGCACCGGTGCAACACGTACCTGTACATAGATGCTGCTGCACCGGTGCAACACGTACCTACCTGTACATAGATGCTGCTGCACCGGTGCAACACGTACCCGTACATAGATGCTGCTGCACCGGTGCAACACGTACCTGTACGTAGATGCTGCTGCACCGGTGCAACACGTACCCGTACATAGATGCTGCTGCACCGGTGCAACACGTACCCGTACATAGATGCTGCTGCACCGGTGCAACACGTACCTGTACATAGATGCTGCTGCACCGGTGCAACACGTACCTGTACATAGATGCTGCTGCACCGGTGCAACACGTACCCTGTACATAGATGCTGCTGCACTGGTGCAACACGTACCCGTACATAGATGCTGCTGCACCGGTGCAACACGTACCTGTACATAGATGATGAAGCCAACTTAACTTCCTTCCACTGAAACTCGTGTTGTAGAACTCTTCAAACTGAAAAAACACGGACCATCACACGATTAAAATAACAAATAAATTAACCACGCTTTTTTTAGAAAGACCTGCGAAAGCAAGCCGAGACTGTCGAGTGAAAATTAATGACAATTTTAATTATTATTTAACACTGTTAATATTATTACTATTATTTAACCGTATTGAACTTGTATCAATAATTTAAATCTGCCACTACACATTACACAACCACGAGCATCATACAATCGCTGAATTATTAACAGCCAGAGCCCCCTGGTGCAGGAAAATGTAATTTACCGGCGTGACAAAAAGCATGAATTAGCCAGACAGTTACCAAGGCCTTGTGAGGGCAGCAAGTCGCAAGGGTAGGATGATACAGGTAGCTACCAGGGGTAGGATGATACAGGTAGCTACCAGGGGTAGGATGATACAGGTAGCTACCAGGGGTAGGATGATACAGGTAGCTACCAGGGGTAGGATGATACAGGTAGCTACCAGGGGTAGGATGATACAGGTAGCTACCAGGGGTAGGATGATACAGGTAGCTACCAGGGGTAGGATGATACAGGTAGCTACCAGGGGTAGGATGATACAGGTAGCTACTGATATGATTCGTATCACAATACAGCCTTTACGTGAAAGCTCACAAATCAGTATCGTAGAATTACCATGCAATTGCAAATTGTAGTATGTTTTTCGTGCTTTTGAATGAAACGAACGCCACTAAATGATATGGATTTATTCAGTGAAGTATCGCTACGTGTAACACAAACAATCAGACATATCAACACATGTATCGTGATCCTACGATTTGTCGCACATTCCTAACGAGATGTGATGAAATCACTCACTAGCTGAACGCTCTTCTCCAGTTCCTGAGGAATCGCAAACGTAGAGACGCTCGCTTGTCCCAGCGGCCACGCCCCCGCCTGAAATAGCAAGACCACCCGCACTCGTAGAGGTCATACAAAGGTCATGCAAAAGCTAATGTGTGTCACCACACGTAACAACCGCTGCAATACTGTTTCAATATAACATCAATATAGCAAAAGCAACAACAATCAATAATATATATGTTAATATAATATATATGTTAACATAATATATATGTCACACGTGCTACTACAGCATTGTTACCGCGATGCACGCACACACACGCACGCACACACGCACGCGCGCACGCACGCACGCACGCACGCACGCACGCACGCACGCACGCACGCACGCACGCACACACACACACATGAACACACAATATTGACAGTACACATTTATTTCTCTCGATAGATGGCGCCACGATGTCACAATGCTGCTGCCGTTACCTGTAGAACAAATATGGAGAAGTTGATAGCTAGGTCTGCCTCCCTGCCTCTCACAAACTCCATGAACTTGCTGTTAAGGTCGGAGCTAACAGACATGTCGGTGAACATCCGGTGAAGCTTGCTCGTGAATTCATAGCCACACGCTTGCTGCAAGCAACCGCAACGACATGTTTAAATATCACAATGGGGTTAGGTATGTAAAGTTAGGTACGAAGAGCTACCACACGCACGCACGCACGCACGCACGCACGCACGCACGCACGCACGCACGCACGCACGCCAACACGAACGCACGCACGCACGCACACACACACACGTCCCCACGCACGCATGCACGCACGCACGCACACACGAACGCACGCACGCACGCACGCACGCACCCGCACACACAGTGATCTGTGAGTTAACCTAGCTATACCCACGTACACAAACATACGCATGCACGTACCAAGGCGAACTCACGCACGCACGCACGCACGCACGCACGCACGCACGCACGCATACACACCAAGTGATATGTGACTGTGTATCATCTTACTAACTGTGTCTACGAAGTATTATTACCTTCAATCGGTTGATCATTCCTTCCTCTGCATCCATGGAGATGGATTGTCCGTGGATCAACCTCTTGGCAAGCATGCGGGAGTAAAACTACAAACAAACGATCAGTTTATTATGCAAGCCGTTAATCAATCGTGCAGTAGAATAATTAACAATGCACTGTAATAATTTTTACTTATTTATACACACATATATACATATAAATTTTTTATTTTTCATTTTACATATATATATATACTGTGGACCCCGAGATACGAATTTAATTCGTTCCAGATTTGTTCGTAAAAGATTTGTTGATCTCGAAAAATTCGTATCTCGAGCCCTATATAGAACGTACAGCAATTTACGTACAGCAAGTGCCATCATGAGAGCGCAACCACATTCAATGAGTCACGTACTTAAACTGACTCACCGAAAAAGCGCGCGCTAGGTCTATGCCCTGATTGGCTAATTCGTAAGACGTTCGTATGTTGAATTTTTAATCGTTTGACAAATACATTACGTTCAACGGGAGATCGTTCGTATCTCAAAAATTCCGAGGGTCCACTGTATATGTATATAAGCTCTTGATATATATATATATATATATGGGGAGGTAGATATAAATATATTTTTAAATACAAGTGCCATTATATGAATATTTATTTCTTATAGTAAATCTCAGGGAATCGGGGGGAAAAGCTCACCTTCTGAAAGACGTCTTTGTCGTCGATGTATTTGAAGACGATAACTGAGGATGTCAGCTTATCTTCCACTTCGTTCTCCGACATTCCTTTGGCACTTTTCTTCAGCAGGGTATCACAATACTTAGCCAGCTGATAGAAGAAGAGAGACGAAGATAGAAAATCAAGGTCATCATCTTGTTTCTACGTGTGAAATCTTCTCGGTTAATGATTCTGTGAAATGTTTCAATCACTATCTCCTGTAACACATTCTAGACCCTCATCCTATATCATCATCTGTAACACATCCTAGACCCTCATCCTATATCATCATCTGTAACACATCCTAGACCCTCATCCTATATCATCATCTGTAACACATCCTAGACCCTCATCCTATATCATCATCTGTAACACATCCTAGACTCTCATCCTATA